TATACATACAGTTTTCTATTTGATCTTAGGAAATATAGAAGCGATGAAAAGCTCCGAAAAATTTTAAATAAGTATATTTATAAATATAACGTTTTAGAAATACGTTTTAACGTAAATATAACGTTTTAACGTGCTCCTGTGAGCGCACGATTATTATATTTCAATAAGAATAAATTTTTTTTTTTATTGATAAATATTACAATCTCTCTCAATAAAGGACATTTATAATAGAGTTCTGAGAGCACATTCACACCATATTTACAAATTAAAAAAAAAATAAAAAATAAAAAAATAAGCTAACTTCAAATAATATAAAGCTACAAAAGAACAAAATAAAATATCATAGTGAGAAAAAAAAAAAAAAAAGTAATGAAAATAAAACATCTTAGACGCAGGCATACCTATTACACTATTTACAGTCGGCCATAGGAACTCCGAACCATACTTATCCCCCCACATGTGGAGGGAAAGCAAGGCTTCAGGAGATCCCTGCGCTTCTTCCTCAACCATTTCACTGGCATTGAAAGCCAGCGGAGATTGAGTAAGGGCGCTACAACCACGGACACTCATGACTTGAGTGGAGAATCTGGCCATTGCCAGAACTCCAGTATATACATGTTACAAAAGGTCACGGGGCCACTGCCGTTTCAGCCTGCGAGGAGGATTGTAGGGATGAGTGGTGCTAGATAGGGATTGTGCTACGGGATTAGGGTGATGGGTAAGGTTCTGATGAAATTTGGAGAATTTGTCTGGGATAAGATCAAGAATAAATGGAATATTAAGGTCATTGTGCAGGGTTTTATTAGAGACATAGAAGGGAGCATCGACTATTGTACGGAGGACTTTGGACTGGAAGGATTGAATGCGTTTGATGTTAGAAAATTTGGTTGTCCCCCACAGTTCTAGTCCGTAGGTCCACATGGGTTTTAATATTGTCTTGTAGATCAGTAGTTTGTTTTCAATAGAAAGTTTAGATTTTCTATTAAGTAGTCTATATAGCTGGCCATAACGTCGGTTAAGTTCCTGTCTTTTCAATTTAGTATGCGGATTCCACGTTAGTCGTCTGTCTAGAAGAAAACCAAGATACCGGACTGTGTCGCAGAAGGGAAGCTGGATGGTATTAAAGTAAACTGGTGGACAGGAATTACGACGAAGGGTGAAGGTTATATGTTTACATTTGGATTCATTGACTTTGATGCGCCATTTCTTGCACCGTTGTTCAATCAAGGATAGGTGCCGTTGCAGGTTTCTGGTCGCTGTTTCAAGATCTGAGTTAGAAGATAGGATCGCAGTGTCATCAGCGAAAGTTGCCAGGAGTGTATCGGGATGGACAGGAATGTCAGCGGTATAAATGATGTAAAGGATGGGACCCAAGACGCTGCCTTGAGGAACTCCAGCCTAAATTGAATAACAGTCGGAAAATTCTGTACCACAGCGAACTCGAAAGGAGCGGTCGGAGAGGTAGGATTGGAGTATTAGGTATAAGGACTGTGGTAGATGGGATTTGAGCTTGAAGAGCAGTCCGGCGTGCCACACCCGGTTAAAAGCTTGCGCTATGTCCAAAAGAATAAATAACGTAAAAAAAAAAAAAAATGAATTCATAATTAATAAAAAGATCAAAAATTTCACTGTTTTAACTCGGCTATAAAGGGTTCAATGCTTCAGTCTATTGTGACCATTTTAACCACCTTGAGTGGTTATCAACTAACTGTCAAGTTTGATACATAAATTGAATAATAAACGGATTCATGCCAAAAACCATCTTAATCATATGTTAAATTCAAAATGCCTTACTAAAATTGATTTTTACAGCTTTGCGCTAAGCATAGTTTTGCTTAATTAATTAAAAAAACGTAAGCTAGAGTTTTCGAATCAAATTTGTTTAATCTTATGAAAAAATTATGTACTGTCAAATAAAATATATACAGGTTTGAAATACAATGTAGTCCTGTTTAATTAAAGAATAAACGAGCTTTGGCAAAATGTTCACAAAATGTTTTTTGTTTTTTAGAAGAAATTTGTCATAGCTGAAGCATATTTTCTAGAACTGATTGATAAAAACATATAGTTTTATGTATATAACATAACATTAGAAAAATGTCTTCATTCAAGTTTTTCAGTTTACGCAGGACTATGTTCAGTGGGCACTGTTACACCCTATCTTAATGATAGTTTTGATATTGTGACTATAGAGTCAATTTTTCGATGTAGGACAGAGTTGCTCGATTTAAGCGTAAAACCATGGATGGCGGGGGACAACGATTGCTGTCCGGTATGTAACTTTCAAGAAAAAGAGAACATCGTTCACTTTTTGGGAACTTGCCACATGTTCAGTGAGATAAGAGAGAAATATTTTGGGCCGCGGACCTGTTCTCCAGAAGAATTATTTGGTTTCTTAAAGGGTTCTAACTGGAAAGCCTTAAGCAATTATGTACAGCAGGCCACATTGCAAAGATCTCAATTAGTCAGATAGTAAACTATTGATACAATATCGTGTTTATTTATTGTAACATTTGTTTTATTGTTATATTGTATTTGATGATTATTATTGTTGAATTTAAATTTCTTATTTATTGGATTAGTGATTTGTTAATGTTTGTTTTTTGAAAACCCTATTTAAACAAATGAGACAGTGAAAAAGAAAATTGCTAGAATGGGTGTATCAAACCATAGTAATACTGTGGATATATTATTGCTCATTTACTTTAATTATAAATGTGATGAATATTTATTATTAATTACACACAGACCTCGACAGACGGAATTTTCCATTGTCTGTGTGTTGTTTCTTGTATATATATATATATATATTATATATATATGTATATATATATATATATATATATATATTACTTTGTGTAATTTTTTAAAAAGTTTAGTAACACGTTTTCATTCATATAACATAACATTATAACATAAAAATTTTATAGATTTTCGAGGTTTCGAGGGAACATGGAGGGCGGTAAAATGTTTTTTGTTGTATAATGTTTGCTTCGAAAACTGATAAGCGGCAAGTAAAGGATATAATAAAGTGGGGATGCCCAGATGCCGCAAGTTGCGTCCACAAAATTTTTAGGGAGCATATTTTTACGGGTTTATGGATTTTTAAAGAGTGCAAATATTTTCAGATTGTGTAGAAAAGGAAAGAAAAAAAACGTAGGAAATAAAAGGGAAATTTAAATTACACTTAGAAAGCGATTCTGAGAGACTTCAGCTGGAGAATCAGGCTAATTATGATGATTATAAGATGATTTTTTTTGGGGGGGGCGGGTCCTCTCCTTCCTTTGCTTTAAGGGTTTTCTCGAGCCAGGGGGGAGGGGGATGGCGGGGATTTAAAAGCACCCCCGGCACCGGGACGAGAACTCGTGACTATTTTTATCCATGTATCAATTGTCAGGTTGCCGGGCAACGGCGGTTCTGTTAGCCCATTCGGCCATCCCGCCCCCATAATAATTATAACTATAAAAGTTTTATTTGTGACGAATACATGATTTCAATCGCAAATTATGCTCAATGAACTTTGTCCTTCCTAGATCGGCTATCGGCCCCACTGTGCGCTGGTCGCTTTCTTAAAGCAGCTTTCCTCTAGGTCAGCTCAGTATCGTCTCCTGGGGCGGATATATACCATTGGCTGCTATGGTAGATTGTGAATACTATTATTTGGGGTTACAGGAGTTGATGACCCTAGGGTTTTACGCATTAAAGCTTAAATAAACAACTATTATTTGGGGGAAACTCCTTTTCAAGGGACGGGAGAACGCGTTGCGTGGCTTAGTGCTGAGTAGTGGGTAAGAGAGATTAGGGCCGCTAGTTGGTTACCTGACAGCGGGGTTGATCCGGAGGGGTTGTTGTCGCGTTGTTATTGAAACGTGGCCCTTCAGTGAGGGAGGTAAATAAAATGAGACAAGTGGCCTCGCATAATTATGTAATTAACAAGAAAATATATATTTAATATTAACAAATGGATGTAAATCCGAAGCCTGATAAATTATCAGTACCTCATTGGTCTCCATGCAATTATATTTATATTTTAATGGTAGGTTAGTCATTTACAGTTAAATTGACCTTAAAATTAAACAGTGCAAAGCATATTGTATTAAAATGTCAGTCACAATAATTAGAACCTCTCCTTGTTACTTGTAATGGAGGATATTGAACGTAAATCGTTTATTCGTCCAAAGATGGGCCGATCAGTCACCACTGCTATTAAGTGTAACCCAATATTTAGAGCTTCCACCTTTTTTGGCATATTCCCTTTTAGAACAGTTAATGGTCTCTTGGAGTTGGATAGATTATTGTTCTGTTATTCGGTCGTTGTCGCAGTCGTTTTTTCCTTTTTAAGTTTTTTGTCGGTTGCATTTAAAGAAGCCTCTAGTTCAGACAGTGTCTTACACAGTACATTGAGACAAGTCTTTGTTGTTTTAAATTTAATCCAGTATCCTAGTTGTCTAGGATTTATATTTTTCAAGAGGGGCTTCATGCAGAAAACTGTTAGTTCTCTCCAAAATGTGGAATATAACTTTCATAAAATGAAGTTAAAAACGTCGATTAGCCAGACCAGTAAGGGCCTTACGTTGTTCGAAATCTTACAACCAATAATCGTACTCTCAATGTATTGTTTCATTACAGGGAACATAATAATCCCTTTGGGATTTTTTTCATACCTCGTATTCATATTACTGGAGTCTTGCCTGTGTGTATTGCAGTTTTGTTTTCTTGTAGGAATCGTCTGCGATTTATTTGAAACAGAAATCAGAGTTCTGAAAATGGCGAAACGGAGTGTATATCGTAGGCTTGATATCGAAGTGATGGAGCAACTTATTGAAAAATCTAATCAAATTATTTCGGTTGCTAGCAACATCAATTCATTCTATTCTTGCCAGCTCCTGTATCTGATTTTTATTAGATTTTTATTAGTTATAATGCACATGTATTTCATTATACAAATTGTTACAAAAAGCCTATCAGAAAACTACCGCCTTGTCATCGTCGAAGTTTTGATGATGTTGCATCATTTTTACTACAACTGGAAAATTAATTATGCTTCTGAAAAGGCATCCAAGAAGGTTGGTAAAGTACTATTTTTTCAAAGCATAAAATAAATGTTTATCCGTTGTTTTTTTTCTCGAAATATTAGGACTAGTTGGTTCATGGTACATTGGAAATACTCAAATTATATTATGAAAATATGTAAACGAAATAATTTTTGAGGAGGGGTTAAAATATTTTTTTGTTGGCCATAAAAAATAATGAAACAATACATGTATATCAACTTTATTATATATAGGCTGTATCTTTTCTAATAATTTGTCGATTTAGATTATTTAATTTTGCTTTTTTAATATATTTTTAGATTGTAATAGACTAAAATAAATAAGAATATTCTAATGTTCGTAAATCTAATCAAAACGTAATAAGTTTTGTACACCTTTTAACCACATATAACTATAGTCTCAATATAACTTCCATTTTATACGTCCACTTTTTGCCAAATTTCATAGCTTTGAAATTTTTAATAATTAAGTACATTGATTTCAATAGTCAACTTATTTGACGAAATTAGAAATAGTCCTCCTCCTTATCCCAGAAATTGCCAGATATGGGATGAAGGAGAAGAAAAACAATTTGACAACAGACAGACACGTTTAACAGACAATAAATATCCTTACATTCCCTATTAAAAAAAAAAACGACAAATACCTTAGATTTTTATTTATGTACCTTTAATAATCTACGGTATTCTGTATGGTTTCAGTCCAAGGAATTCAACACACTGCTGTACCAGCTCATGATTGACGATACGACCAACGAAATTCTCCATAATGTGAGTACTTCTTTGCTTTTAATAGGTATTCAATCGATATTCTTTTAAAGCTCGACTTTAAACCGAAATCTACCTCAATAAAATTCGTTAAGATGTTTCAGTTCTCATGAACTATTCGCCCACCTTAAGTGATTCATTTAATGAACATAATTATCTCAGGTTCTTTATATATACGATATAACTCCTGGTTGTTGCATCTACACCACTCATTTTTAGCTTGGTTTCCCAATATCAGACGCAATCTTTTTCTTTTGAAAATGCTGAGGACTGTGGATGCTAGGATTAGATATCTATGGCTTTAGTGGTACTCCAGGACTCTCGTAGACTGATTAGTCTTATACGAAATTTATTTTAGTTAAACTCGATAGGACTTAACTTCTCAAGAGCTACAACAATCCGCAATGCACAATATTTACAGCCAGGTTTCTTATTTTCACCTGTGGATATAGTACTTGTTTGAGGCACCCATCTTGTTTGGGCATTGAACCCAGGTCTATAAATTCAGATACCTTCGCAAACTTGTTCTGACCATATATTCTCATATATCTTGGAGTATGGGTATTCAGAGCTAGCATATATGTAGTATTTATGGCACTGATCTCATATCCAAGACTCCTGGGAGTGCCAGTCAGGGACAAAAAGCTTCAATTACAGCACCATAAGAGTTGCTAACTATATCTAAATTGTTGTCATGAACGTGGATAATAGATCTATTTAACATTTTACCGAATTTAATCCTTGCTTCTCCTTATTGATTTTTAAAGTGAATTATTGTTGGACATAAAACAAGCATATGTATCTCCTGGTCTGAAGGGAATTATCGAGATAGATTTTGTTTAAGTTTAACTGCACAGTCTCCATCGAGATCATAACTATTCTGATCAGTTTTATCAGATTGTTTAGGTCACGTATATCTTTATGGATTTCATCCCTGTTGATATTGTTATAACCCGTCCTAAAATCAATAAATAAACTGTGCATCATGATATTATATTCTCGTCCTCTCTCTAGGATTATTCTCAAACTGAAAGTTTGATATAGCGTAGATTTTTTTCTTTCTAAATCTCTAAAACATTCTGGTTGCATGAAGAAGTAAATACTGCAATATCGACTGAAATTCATTACATTTTTTTTTTCGTCTTTACTATATCTACATAAATTGATCTTTAAAATAAAGATAAAATAATTCATATCGTTATAATTAATGTTTTTCAGGATAAGTTGAGATTGCACATTTCAATGAAAAGAGAAGTGGTGTTTTCTGCTTGTGGCTTCTTCAATTTGGACTATACTCTGGTACATTCGGTGGGTACTCCACTTCACTTATTTTTTATACAATATTTCAATACTCCTACGTAATTGTAAAAGCAAGTTTAATTCATGTAAGGTTAAAATTGTTCCAAATATATTGATAATCAGGCAAAGAAATGCTTTGCAGGAGCTTGGAATGTAGGAGCAATGGTGGGGAAGAGGGAAGGGAACAACTTGCATCGGGCATCGTGGTAAAAAAAAATAATCTGGTATGGTACACACTTTGTATAACCATGATACAGCACACGTTATGCTTTAAACCAACGATATGCTTTTCGTGTGTAAGGCCATATTTTACGAATACATTTTGAGATTAGAGATGCTTATTGACTTAAAAGAATGTGAAATATAAATACCCCACGGTTTAAAATGGGACAAAGAAATTCGAAGTTTTCCTTAAAGGTGCGGAAAAGGGTTTTTTTTTTTGTTTGTTTTTTACACTATTATATACATTATTGTAAGCTCAGAACCTACCAGAATTGTTATTAGGCAATGGCGCAGACTGGAAGGGCAAGAGGGGCGATCGGTACTATTTAAATAGCCAGTCGGTCCGACTGCTATCTTCCAATGTTTATAACCTTAACACTGATAATTCTTATAAGGTACTGATAATATCTTCGTATTCATATTTATTGTATTATATTCATATTATTGATATTCGTATTATTGATATTCATATTATTGTATCATCGTATTCATATGTATTGTATTATATACATATTATTGAAATTTTAAATAAAAACAAATTTAATAATAAAAAAATACTTTTATTTTACAAGATATATATTACACATATTACATCATACATATAAAAATAAATTAAATAATAAAAATAGGCAAAAAATGGACAAAAATAAATGAAATAATAAAAAAACACTTAAACAACATCTGTACATATAAAAGAAACATATAAAAACATTAAAAGAAATCCTCAACCCCTCTAACCACGTTCCTTTCCGTATAGAAACGCTTTTGTGTCAAATACGAAACATCTCCATTTCGTCTGCCCGTCCAACTTTATTTCATGACCTTCATCACAATATTCCACCTTGGCAATCATCCCGGCGTCTTAAAAATATTTGATAGCCTCTTCTTCTGAAGACAGCAATTCGAACAATGTAACAACATCCATAATTTTACGAAAATAACACTAACCCACAGCTTACACGAGGAACAAAAAGTAAACAATGAAATAACTTAAGTTAGACGAGATAAGAGAGGTTATGTGATATAAGATTAGATAACAAGGGAGAATTCGACCAGATCTGCTATTTAACAAGTACCCAGGTGTTTTTTCTCTCTCTTCATATCAAATTAAATTGATTAGTGTTACCACCGCCATGCAATTATAATAGTACTTTCTTAGTCATTGTTTGAATTATTTTCCTACATCTAAAGGCTTTGATTAATTCGCCATCAGGGCTGTTATACACAGATCCAGAGCACAAGTAATTCTTCTTAATAAATATAGCTCTTTTCTATTTTCTTCTTTCAGATGATCGCCTCTGCTACTACATACTTGGTCATCTTGATCCAGTTCGGACAGACCGGGAACACGACGCAGGAATCACAACCAATTGTCATTACCAACCTCACAACCACACCCCTACCGCTTTCTATGACCACTTATCTGTGAATTGCACCATTTAATAAGTAGCCAATTCCAGGAATGGAATGGGCTTTGAAATGGAGGTTTTCATTGTTATAAGAAAGTTTACTGAAATTACTACAATTGTTTAATTGTACTAAATATATTAATTTATATGTTAACTATTTCATTCCAGATATAGAAATTTAGACCTTAAAATTTCAATCAACACCATTTTTATTATGTTCCTTTGTTCCAAAAAAAAAAAAAATCCATGAATTCCTAAATGATTAGATGATACTTCCTGTAGCAGTTGTTACTTTTCATATCATTCAATATAGACAGTTTTAAATAAGGAAATTACAATATTCCCGTTAAGATTGTACTAATTTAGTTAAGCTATTAATATTATCCATATATTAACATTATATCAGCTGAATGGATCAGCTGAATCAGCCGTTAAAAATGCTGGAGCAGGGGTTTACTCAAGGGAATTCCAAATCAGCGCTGCGGTGGGAAAAGATGAAACAAATTTCGACGGTGAGATAGCGGCGATCCTCATAGCCTTAAGAACATTGGAAGGCGGGATCAGAGCGCTGTTCTCTTCATCGACTCCCAAGCAGCCATCCTTGCTGTCACAAGCACGAATGAATGTTTATCGAGTGCTATATTGGAATGTAAATCCCTCCTCTCTAACCTGACACACCGAGGCACCAATGTGGTCCTACAGTGGATCCCCAGCCATTGTGGGATTCCGGGTAACGTTGAGGTGATATTCTTGCCAAGCGAGGAACAGATTTGCCTCAGCCGATACATCCAAAACCTTACGACTCAATACGGCGAATGGTGAAGATGGTAGTGAAGGAGGAAATAAGAAAAGTACATTTCGGCAAAGTGGAAGGGAAGCGTTACGAGTGGTTGAAGGATAATCCGATTCCAGCTGAGCTGACCGAGAAGAGATGCAGTTGCCTGCTTCCGCCTGGCCACTGGTCACGACTATCTGCAGAGTCATCTCTACAAGATAGGCGTCGCTGAGGATCCTAGTTGTAAATTGTGTCATCTAGGAACAATGGATGCAGACCATCTAGACGCAGGTCCTGCCTTGAGGGACATAAGAGACAAAATATTTCCGAATATACATATAAGAAAGTCTAAATTATACTGGGCAGCAAGATGTCGGATGGCCAAATGACCAACGACTGGCATAAGAAAAAAAAAACAAAAAAAACATTATAATATAATAAAGCTCATTATCTATGTTTTGATCATTATTTGAGTTAGCAGAAAGATTCCATTTTAACATTCTTACTCTTTCCACACCTTTTATCAATCCTGGAAATTTTCAAGTTCAGAAATCATTTTTAGAGCAATAGTTTCTTCTGTCATTTCATGAACATAATTTAATTATTTTCAAATATTTTAATTGTTTCTGATTAATCCATTGGGTAAACTGAATTAGAACCATAAGTACTCATTGTTCAGCTAGTTATATCATTATGTAATCCTTAAATATAAAATTTTATCTTGGTTTCAGGTTTATTTTATTTCAATATAGTTAAAGATTATCTTAGTTTGGAGGCTAGTTTACATATCTACTAATTGTTAAAATTTGATAACAATTTTAAGCAAATTTATGCAACTCTTTACTTTATTTCTAATATTATTAGCTTTATCTAAATTGTGTACAATTTTATAAAATTTTGGACCAATGACAATGCCACACCACAGTCTTAATCTGAAATCTAGTCTTAACACTTATTTGGTGAAACACTTTGGTGCTTTATGCAGGGCACTTACAATATTATTTTGCACAATGATATTCAACACTGATAATATTGATTTAATTTTGTCTATAGATAAAAATGATAAGTTACAGCTCTCATTTAATGCAAATTATTCTAGGCTTTATTTCAAATTGTCTGTTTAGGCAACTTTTCAAATTTTAATTTAATAAAGGCAAATAAATCTCATGAGTTCACAATAGGCAACATTCAACTTATTTATGCAGTGGACTGTATCTTCATGAAGTGGTAGGTTATATTAATTGTGCAGATCGGCCTACCATTTTTATACTGGCATAGACATCATACCACCTGAGGGTGCCCTCGATTTTGTTTGAACACACTAGAAATGTTGCTCAGTGCTTTTTCCGTAGAGGATTTTTTCATTAGAAAGATTTTTTTAGTCCGTTCTAAACATGAGTAACATCAATTTCGAAGAACATTGTACTGTCAAGTTCTGCTTCAGATTTGGACACTGTGAAATTGAAACATTTGAAAAACTGCAAATTACATCTGGCCTATGAAAGATCGTATTTTGTAGAAAGCCCAGATTTTTATGTGGTTTAAGGCATTGTCAGTATAAAGAGAATCAATTGAAGACAAGCTTCGTAGCGAAGGCGTTCATCTTCAATAACCAATGTAAATTTTGGCAGAATCCGCGATCTAGTACTTCCATATAGTCTTTTGACAGTCCGAATGGTCTGTGAAGAGTTGAATTTGATTTAACAAAACATTAATCAAATATTAACCAATGAATTGGAGAGCAGAAAATTTCAAAAATTCTTTTAAAAGACATCAGAAAGGAAAAGGGCCTTCACTTTTTGAGGACAATTGAAAACGAAATCCATTTTCTGGGACTTGTTATTATTGGTGATGATTCTTGAGTATTTGAGTACAACCCGTAATCCAAGTGCCTAAGCATGCAATGGCCCACTTCAACCACTCCAAGGCCAAATGAAGAAAAAAGTTAGAATGAGTAAGTCGAAAATAAAATGCATGCTGATTTGCTTTTTTTAATAACCAAGGAATCATTCACGAAGAGTTTGTGCCTTGGTCAAAAAGATCAAAAGATCAAATGGTTAACCAACATTTTTATCAAGAAGTTTTTGAGAGCCTTTGAAAAAGGTTCATGAGTGAAACCAGAGATGGGTAAATGCTTCTCTGAGTACTGAGTAGCAAATATTTTACTCAAATACTGACCTTTTTTGAGTACCAAAAAAATGTATGACTACTTTAATTTATTTCAAACGATTAACTGAAGTAGTGATTCAATTTGAGTAAAATACTTGGTACTCATAAGTCGGAGTAGCGTTTGCCCATCTCTATGTGAGACTAAAAATAAAAAACGTGGGTGTTGCATCACAACAATGCTCCTTGTAACACTGTGATTTCTATGAATGAGTTTTTAGCCAGTAAAGACATTCCTTTGGCTCCTCATCCTCCACATTCATCTGATTTGAGTCCATGTGACTTTTTTCTGTTTCAAAGATTGAAAAATCACCTCAAGGGACGACATATGAGGCCAATCCGCTCCCAAAATAGGCTTTTCAAACAAGATTTTAATTTCCTCTTTAAATTAATTAATGGAATATCAATTCTTTCACCCTCCGTAGTAAAATTAATTTCCTGGTTCTCCTGTTATCCTCAGATTTTTCCTAATAAATTCCACCTGTAGATCAGATTCAGCAAAATGCAAACTTATTTAAGCACTACAACGTGCATGAGAACAGGCAAGATGAGAAAATACTTTTTCTAACAATCAGATCCATATAGAACCCCTAGAGTTTTCCGAAAATGATATTTTTAATTTCTTTTTTTTAAATTGAATTATTATAGGTAGAATATCCAAAGTCGATAAGATGGAAGTAAGATGGCAAAATATCAAATGTCGGAAGAAAAATATCGATATTTCAATATTATCGACTATTGATGGTCATTCCTAACATTTCTCTACAGCACTTACCAAGTTGCAGTTTAGCTGTTTGCCATTATTTCCAAAAGTTTTACAATTATTTTGAAAACCTGTGGTCTAACGAGGGAGTAATTGAAGATTACCATGCCTCTTATTGGGTGTGGGATGTTACAAATCCCGACCAGAAAAACCGGGTATAAAGAAAAGTGGACATAGAATCTCTGGGTTCAAAGTTTCATTCAACAGGGAGCGGAAAAAAGAAAATACTCTGACGAGTGGTTTTCACGCTCTTATACTTGTGAGTACTAGCAGATCCAGAATTTAATTTTAGGGGAGGGGCTTCAGCCCAAAAGTTGTCTTTTTCATAAAAATAGCGATAATTACTTTAGAAAAAAAGAAAGAAATTAACTACCTGTATGTTCACACTCTAGTTAAGTACGTGGTGGAAATCTCAAGATAGCTATCAGGGGTAGCCAAAAAGGACTATCATATGGCTCACTCCTCCCACAAGTAGCAGCAAGTATATTTATTAGCGTTCAAGGTCTCTTTAAAATGCCCAACTCGAACACCTCGGCACCTGTAGCTGGTCCATTCTTCAAAGATAGACCAGCCAATTCTCACTCAAGGACTGTCCTAGACTTCTCATGCTTTGGTGGCCCTGATGTTAATCATGATCGACCTAATCTCTCTTCATATTTGGCAATTTCAGCATCATAATTAAAAGTGAACTGGAACAGTGCATCCAGTACATTGGCTGGGCAATGGACCAATGTTGCCAAGGAGTCTCACATTGACAGCGTATCAATCCCAATCCTCGATACCTCCTCAGTGGAAAAAAAGCTTATTATCATATAATAAATATATAATTTAAAAAAAGCTTATTATCATATAATAAAACTATCAGACTAATTAGTTAATAATGTGATCAGCAAGAACTGCCAGGTAATAACGAAACCTTTATTACTCCTAATAATAAAGGTAATTTCTAACCTTCTGGCCCATCATCATTGAATAGCTTTCTGATGGGGGTTCTGCATCTTCTAGGTAATGGCTTAGCAAGTTCCTTGACCCTTTTGGTACATTTGGCACGGAGAGATCGACGTTTGGTAGCAAATGGATACTCAGCCTTGATCCGAAAATCTTCACGTCTTAATACAGGAAAGGCCAATTCTGAGATTCTCTTTGAACATCTAGCTTTCAGAGACCGTTTTTTCACAGTGAAAACCTTCTCTGGGGGCAGGATATCAACAGGAGGAAGTTTTGGAACAGGCTTAGCCAGCTCTAGTATCCTTGGTGTAGCTGGTTGGACAACAAAAATTGAATAGAATAACATATTGCACATCTTGAGAGAATGAGTGATAATATAATTATTTAGATATTAAATGATGTATATAAAAATATTATACAATAACTATTAATTGCTCTTCAATTACTAATAAATTTTGAAAAAAATTTAGTTCCTTTTTATTACTTAATTGATAAGTCTTCATAAACACCTCATCTTATGTAAAACCATCAAATGTTATCGCTGTGTAGGAATTGTGCAAAAAAATTGATATTACAATCCTTGTGTTACTAAAAACAACTACAGTTGTTTATCAGACTTAAAGGACTACCAAAAACAATTTTTAAAAATACACTTGTATTCTATTTTAATAATCCTTCGATCTACAGGAAACTTTAGTAGTTTCAATCTTCTCAAAAGCTTTCCAACATTTTTAGGACTGAATCAATCCTTATTTGTAATTTCTTGAAAGAAAATGGATTGATTTGGTTTGATTGGAGCTAATAGTAAACATTTAAAACTGTACCAATACTTTTTTGTCACTCAAAATTTACTCTTTATGATACTTTAAAATTAGCTTTTGAATTATAAACACTCATTGCTTCTAAAATCTAATTTCTAAGGGTTACTTTGTTAAATAAATATCATTTCTGGAAAATAACTTTATCCTATTGAAATTTGTAGAACAATTAGTCTGCCAATACTTTTTTGATTCCCTGTATGTTTTCCATTACTAGTGTTCGCCCAATGGTCAAAATTCGACCATAATCATTAAAAATTTGAGGAAAACATATAATTAAATAAAAAATAATTTCAACAAATAAAGAATTAATCACGATTCAATAATCCTCATTTATTAATAAAAACAAAATTTCAATTTCAAATAAAAATAATCAAGCTTAAACTACTTAAAATTATTTATAAGTAATACAAAACAGACTTATTCAAAAATATTTAATTTCCATTTTAATTCATGCATGTGATTATCACAATATTAGCAATTTCAATTCAGTTTAAATAAATTTTTATGTAGAACTTCTCTGCTTCTCTCTAAACAATGCTCTATGTGAATGTTCTGTTATTGTTTAGTACATAGGCTTGCCCATTGCCATTTGTAATATAAATTTTAAAATAAAAAAAAAACGTGCTTTACTTACTGCCACAGATAATTGTCCATTTGAAATTACTGGATGTCGCAATAATATACAAATTTTTCCAAAAATATGATCCTGTGATTTGATTATGGCATAGCAAATACAGCTATTAATAAGAACATTGTTCTTTGAAATTTGAATGGAAGTATTGTCTTGGAAAATGTTAAATTAATTCTTGGAATTTAAATTCTTTTATTTAAAGTAGCTCATGTTAGTACTTCACTCTCATTCGTGTTCTATTAACTAATGCTTGAATAATAATCCCGATTACTTCAGTAAATGTAAAGTTTTTGATTTACCAAAAACCAAAATAATGGAAATTGTCTTTGCAAAAGAAAAAGTACTAAATGTTTAAAACAACAAATCTCTGCAAGAAATAGTCCGATTTCGATGATTGTTTTTTTTGGAGGGAATTCAGGAAGCTTTCAAATAAATATTGGTTACCATGGATACCAAACCACTCTCTATTAGAATCTTTTTACCTGCTTTTCACTAAAAAACTCATAAAACCTTATGTTTTACTCATAATTCAATGTTTATATGACCGTTGGAAAGCTGAGTTATTGCTCTTTAAGCTTATATTAACAACTTTTATATTTAACACCCTCATAAGGAATAAATAAACAAAAACTCCCAACACATTTTTATTTTTGATCTCCAAGCCTAATTTATATATGGACCTCTGGTTTGCGCCACTTCGTGTATTTTATATTTTCGTGTGAATAAGTAAAGCCAGGTCGAAGTTATGACAACTTTTGTGATTTTTAGAAAAAAAATTGGAATAAAAATGTGTGTAGCTTGTTTTTGAGAACTTATGTTATATACATAAATTATAAAAGTTTCAAGAGGAAGACTTTAGCCAAGTTTCATTAAAATCGTTGCAACTGTTTTGGCGCTACAGTCTAAAGCGAATCACCTTTTTTGGCCGCCATTTCGAAAGGAAAGGCCTGATGATAATGAAATGTACAAAAAACACTCCTGAATCTTATTGCAATGTTGTGTCAAAATTTCAAATAAATCAGTGAAGAACTTATGGAGATTAGGTATTTTGAACAAAGTACCATTTATATTTATATTTACATACACTATACTATTTCATATTTTTATTTAACACTAACACTAAACAAAAACAAGAAGGAAGAAAATTCAATCGTGAATAATAGAGGAGAAAAAGGAGCTGAACCGTTTTGTGTTTGTCTATTTATACAATGATTACAATTTTTCATTAAAAAAAAAACTATAGACCTGTATTGACTTTTAAACATGAGCATTATTTCATTTGCAAACTAGGACTTGCTTTGACAAGTCATAAGACAAAACATTTTAATTTTTACTTTTTAAGTTAATAAATCTAAAATTGTTCATCATCATCATTATATCAGAGATTGGTCTTTTGTTGAATTTTCTATTCTTCAGCATCTAAATTTTGATGTTAATAATTTCACTTTTATTATCTTATTTTTGATAATATATTTCATTATTATTTTCTGAATCTTTATTATATGTTATATAACTATAATTTCTACAATTAATTTATTTAATTATATTCATAGTTGAAGTTTTTATAATTAGTGATATCCAGCAAAGTGAGGATTATCCATCCCGCAAATAATTTTTTAATAAGCACTCATTATTGTGAAAACGCTGCTGTGTTTTTTTTTGCTTCACCAACCTTTTAGACCATTGGCTGACTGAAGCAGCATTTTCCACCTCTTTCAATTTTATACTTCTGCTTTAAAGTTTACTACAAATAGCTCTGTAGCACCTTTGTTGATTTTATCTAATCATTAGCTCTGTGACCTAATAAGGCATCATTCCATTCACTGTTCTATATAGGTGATGGATTGCTTTGGGAAGTATATCCCATCAATTTAATCTTTGCACCTTCATATCATGAGACATAGCCTTACCAATTTCTGTAAGCAGTTCTTTTATTGGTCTTTCTTCTCCATGCTTTAATACTCTAATCCCAAATCGCTCCTGTTATGATGGGGAGGATTTTCCTTTCCAAAACATTTTTTTAATTTTCCAAACTTTTTAGTTGGTCTTAGTATGATGCTGGTTATTAGTAATATGAAACTATACAATTCATATCTCAGAAATGCACAAATTAACCTGCCAAATATGAGTGTGGATCAGAAGTACTTTAACCTTGCTTTATAGAGGTGGAGGAGCAAAATATTGTTCATTTTTGTTTGGGTCACATAGGTCTATGTAATTAAACATCATGAACATTTTAAAATATGGATTACATACCACTAACTCTACTCATATAAGATAACAATTTATTTATTAGCTTCACTTAAGAGAACAAATGCTGCAAACAGTCCAATTTAATTTTTGTTCCTGCATACTAATCGCTTAGATTGATCATTATATTAAATATGTAAACAAATAATTATAACCAGACCTTTTCAACCATTTAAGTTATTTAAAGGCATAATAAAAACCTATTAATAAGTGTTTCAATCATTAACTAATCATCAATGTTGGTACACTTATTCTTTGATCAGATTAAAATATTACTCACGGAAATGAGGCTTTGAAGTTTTTACAAGTCTTCTTTTTTTTCTATAATGGCCAAAATGAGGTCTATTTGAATCGAAAACATTTATTAAACATTTTCTATTTCCTTTTATCTTGATAGTTTGAGATGTATTTTTTTCATTCATCCCTGATTTTATTATACGGGTGCTATCTATAGTGAAATATATCTTAATGATTCACTTATTAGATATCTTTCATCTCATACAACTAAATTATTTTATAGAGTTAATAAAAAGATTAATTTATTTGTTACTTTAGTGGATGATCATGTATTCCACCAAAAATAGTAAATTGTTTTAAAAAAAAATGTTTTTAATACACTAATATATTTAAAAATACCTCTGAACAGAAGAGCCCTTTTCGGTACCTTGAAAGGTTTGAAAGCTAAATCTTTTTTAACTGGAATTGGCAGTTCTTTGTGTTGTGCCAGAGATGCTAGTCTCTTTGATATCTTGTATTTTTTATGTTTTCCTTGACCCTGCAACCATTTTGAAGGACCATATATTTTACATTTTCCTTGGTCTCAAATTAAATGACAATATGTACCAATAATAAACATAGAAATGATGGACAGGAGCAAATAATTAAGGTTTATCTATGACAAACAGTGATTACTTTTTTGCATGTAATATTGAATTATTATTGTTATGATTGGGATGGAAATGATCACGGTTGATTTCATAAATGCAGCATTGCGTATTAACAAAGGCTTCTTCTTGTACTTTTAGATTGCACTGTTAAGTACATTTTGATTAATTCGAGAAATATAACATCACACTACAGAAAGTTTATCTGCTTCAATTTAAGGCATGATTAACGTTTGAGAAAGAGAATAAAACGGTAAATCAAGATTTACAAATCATAAATCATTTCTATACATTCATCATAATAGTTCAAATCATGAATCACCAATTTATTATTGAGAAGGGAATAGTTATTTTCACTGAATTAATGTATCATGAAAATACTTTTGTAATGAGTGTATCATTCTAATCTGATCCCCGGGTATAAAGATTTTTCCCATATCTATACCACTGGCAGATTTAGGAATTTTCATTTAAAATATCAAATACTTTTTTATGCTAAGCCAAGACTATGAATTTCTATGAAGCTTAAAAAAACTTGTTTGAACATTATTCAGAGGAAAAGTGTCTATTTGTGGAAAGTTATAGGACAATTAATTATACTAATTAATTAATCTTTCAACTCATAATAAATTAAAAATCTTATATTCTTTTATAAATCTTTGATGACATTCTTTAGATTAAGCAATAGGTCCCATATCAATTACTGAGTGTGTTTATGATTTATATTCTTGTTTAATAGTTCGTTTTGATATTTACTCCTTGTTAATTGTATCTTAAATAATTTTTTAGCAGTAACAGTAAGTGTTTTTTTTTACTTTCACTTATCTATATATGAAATATACTGTGATGTAAATATTACGTAGTGAATGTGAAATTGCATGTTTAAAGTTTGCATATACCTGGGATGTTACAGCAACTTTTTCGTCAAAATCGACTGACCGGAAGTGGCACTTTCTAATCGGTTTTACACCTTTTTACGATTTTCTTGGAAACGTCTCAAACGATTTTGATTAAATTCATTATGTCAGTGTAAAATTAAGTTGATTTTAATATAATGTAGATTTAGTTTTCATTGATATTCTCTAACAGGGCTTAAATAGCTAATTTTCAATACTTCTTTCTCTAAAGTACCTTAATTTTTTTTTATTTGAAATAATTAACCATTTTACAATTAACTCTGATATATACAAAGTAGTAAAGTATAAAATATGAAAGAATTAGATAATTAAATAAAGGAGAAATAAGAGATCATAACGAAGAATAGTTGTAACAGAGGGACCAAAGTAATATGAGTATGCCTGAGCTCACCCAAAAGATTAGAACAGGCTTCATATGTAACATGAACTTAATATAATACGGACTCCTGCAATATTATATACATAAACATAAACGGTTTTCATAAATGCTATCGTTTGTATTATTTGATTGTATAGATTACACCGATATAAAAATTAAAATTTTGTACAAAGGTAGCTAAACAAATAAAAGTACCCACAATGAAATATAAATAAATATAGCAGTCTTCTTTATCACTGGCACTCATTCTTGTCAGACTAAAAATATTTTGTGGTACTTAATGATTTATTGTAATCAAATAAATGATTGTTTTCAAGACGAAAATTTGAATTTACAATTCAAAAACTTCACTTTTTTTGATTTTTTGCTTATATCAGTGAAACTATGAGTTCTAGCAATAATGATGTTCTATCTAAAATTAAAGCTGACAAAATTTTCAACAGAAAGTGTTGTATTAATTTCTTCGCTATCTCCTATAGTTTTCTGAGATGTCCATCCTCGTATTTCACTAACTTCAAAAAAAAATTACCTCGCATTTTTACCATTATTTGAATCGCTAACTCTTTATCTTTTCATTTTACAAAAAAGTTATAATGAAGAAAGCTGTTTAACATTAAATTTTCTTTAAGAATATAAATATTATTTTAAATCTTATTTTTAACCATTCAGGAGCTAGAGCAATTATAACCTTATGTTTATACTCCGATATTAGCAGAAAAACTGATTTTTCAAGATTTTCATTATTACACAGCTCCTAATCTTCATATAAGCTAACATACAAATGTATACATTGGCTTATATAATAAACATATTTATATATTACCTTATGTAATGATTAATAGCAGAATAATAACGAAAATTACGAAAAGTAAGTTTTTCTGCTAGTAGTGGAGTATAACATAAAGTTATAAAGAAAGGAGATGGTCCCGGGTTGCAGTCATATAAAGGCTAAATAGTGGTAAAACTATTTTATTGAAAGCCAACGTTTCGACCCGACTTTGCAGGTCTTCATCAGGGCTAGAACGGACAAGATACAAAAAGATAGAGAATTATGGCAATTACATAATATTTAGACATAATTTATAAACAATGTGAATAAGCTTATTATGGTGCCCATTATGGTTTGGAATTTTATTAAATACTAGCATTACCCGGCCACGAGCAGCTGTGGCTTAGTCTGGCAAAATGGAAGAGAAAGAAAATAGAAAGCACATATGAGTAGATTAGTAGCAAAGGACATCTGTCATTTTTAAAAAGTTGGGAAACAAATTTGTCTGTAAAATGGCTTCAATTGAAACTAATTCTAATTGTTTTTTTTCTCATGATTCAAATTGAACATTCATAATCATCTGAGTAAATACGCTGTCATTCATAATCATCAGAAACAGTCTGAGTTGAACTTATAAAACTAAATCAAAAAATTAATTTTAAAAACGTATAATAGTATTGACCTACATAAGGAGAATCATATAAATTCTTCAAATGATAAATTCAATTACTGTAGTAATTATAAAATTTTCGATTAATCAATAAAAAAAAAAAAATTCCTTTCCGACGTTTGGTAGTGAGGAAGCAAAAGGAAACGGCCTTTTCTGAAGAGAAAGTATTAAATGTTTAAAACTCAATAACTATGCAACGAACCGTCCGATTTCAATGATTTTTTTTTTTGGTCAGGAATTCAGAAATCTTTCATATAAATATGGGTATTATCAGTCAAAAATTGTGTACTTTTTTAGTTATCGTCAAATAAACTATTGAATTCATCGTAACATTTTTCAGCTCGTTTTCGGGCAAGTATGTTATACACATAAATTAAAAGGGTTTCAAGGGAAAGACTTCAGCCAAGTTTCGTTAAAATCGGTGAAGCCGTTTTGGCACTACAGTTTATAGCGACATATTTTTTGCAGCTTTGAACAGAAAAACATTTACATTTTTTTTTTTTTTTTACATGTATAAAATTATCGTAAGACAGAAGTACTATACCAGAAACCTTCTCAGGAGTGTACGGAACAACTTCCCAAAGTTTCACTGCGATCGGTTGAGTGGTTTAGTAATGCACTTAGGACAAACAGACGGACAGACAGACATACATTCATTTTTATATATATAGATTAAATTATTGAACCTCTTACCTTTGTTGAATTGACACTCAGTTTTGAATCCTTATTTTTTATTAAGTTTTTATCCCTCAATAGAGATTCTTCATCAGTTTTTTTTTTCTTGATTGATGTTTCCTAATAAATGTATAAAAATGTCTATGAGATATTCCTAATAACTGAAAAATCATTTACAACATTCAATGAATAGGTATATATCATAGGCGGGAAACCTTAAATATTTTTTGAGGTCACATTACAGTCAGGGAGTGATAATGGAGGTCAGAATAATGTTTTATATTTTACTGTACACACACACACCCATATACATATTAAAACCTTATTTCCAAATTTTTATTCCTTAAATAATTACATATTTATTTTCTTATTTTTATTTAAACTTTATTTGTTTTCAGGGAAGAACCCCATACAAATAGAGTCTATCTTTGTATAACAAACATTATTACTCCTATGGTATTACAAATATTACAACAATATTACTACATGAATCACTTAAGAAACATATTTGATAAAACTTTAGACATTTAAAATAACGCCAATTATTAACAATTATATAAAATATAAAACTCCCGTCAAAACACATACACAATATCAATAAATACATTTTATTTTTTAAATATTAATAATAAACTATGGTTCTAAAATTCAATTAACAGATTACTCACATGAACAAAGAAAACAAACAAATAATATTCAAAGGACAATATTCCAAATTACCCCACCAATTCTCTACAATTTGATATATTAGAAATGAAAAAATATAATTTTCTCATATCTTCTATAGTGGTTGGCTCAAATATTTCCATCTCATTAAGATTGCCCATACCCTGGTAAATTCTTACTCTTAAACTATTTTATATTGAGCATTTAAATAATACATGATAAAGTGTCTCTTTTTCTATAGTATTGCACGTTTTGCACTCAAGTTGTGGAGTGAATTTTACAATTTTATAGTCAACTGAAACTTAATCATGTATTTTCACAAAAGGCATATCTGCATTAACAATCTGGTATATTTGAAATGGTTCAGCATCACCAAATACTGGGTGATCTGACCATTGTTAAAAAAAAAATTCAAATGTTCACTATAAGCTGAGCTATGCAATGTTTTCTCGTCACCCTCTAGCAAATGTTGTTTATATTTATTTAATATCCTGTCGATATTTGCTTTAATTATGACTGAGTTGGTTTCATAAACTATATCACCTTCACCAATAGCATCTAAAAATATTTTCAGCTGAGCACACCAATTATATTTCGACAGAGCAGGATTAGATTGACAACATTTGTTTCTCAGCTTTTCGAATCATATTTTAGGGTATCTAAATTCCTCCATTTCCACAAGCTTAACCAACCAATTCAAGGAACATTTCCTGACATTGAAACCCGTACGAATGAAACCTGTTTCTCTGCGCATCAAAAAGTCTGGGGTGAATTTACAAAGTGAAAATGTCTTTTTATAAAAATTTACGTTGACCTTTTCTAAGAGCTCTATGTATCGCAGACTCCATACCCGAGCACAATATAGCAGAGATGTCTTATGATAGTTTTTTCAAGATTTTCAAATTATTAAATATTAATTAATTATAGTTCCATATTGATGAAGATGGGTGGAACCCTATGGAGGTTTCCCATCTATGGTATACACTATTCTATAAACAAAACATCTATTTAAGTCACCTCTGCTTTTTCTGTTGTGGTTTTCATTTCATCATTTTTAAGTGGATCAGATTTCTGAAAATTTGTTTCTGTTTTACTTCCCTAGAACACAATCAAATGATTACATTTAGTAAACAATTTTTAATGTTCTAACCATTCATTCATCCAAATACAGTTCTATCCATAATTTTGTTGATGAATACGAGACTACCAACTCTGTTCAAAGAAAAGAGACCCAAACCATCATTGGTGTCCCAATGCATTCTTTTCCCCCTAAAATTTTAAGGTTGATTTTCACTAAATCATGATCATCATAACTATTTATTTTAAAAACAATTCATCTGTAAACATTAAATTTCACAAAAATTCAATTTAAATTTTTTTAAAAATTGTTTGCAGACACTAACATTAACCTGGCTGATAAAATGATTTTTCACAATTCTTCAATGAAAATAAAATTTCCTTAAAACAATCTCTCAATTGCAACAATTAATAATTTTGGATAGCCATTTTTTTTTTTTGCCATAATGAATCTGATTTCTACTTCTGTACCTTTTTATTGTATCTTCTTCAGTAGAAACAGACATCCTCACATTTTAAATATAAAATGTTTAAAGATATCAACTTTGGAAAATCACTACTAAAAAAATTATAATGCAAATTATATAACTAAAAATATTTAGAACTATCTTACCAATGTATCAGATGGAAGTGATTCTTCATTGCTAAGATATGTATCCTCTTTCAATGCATTTCTTGAATCTACTGTATTTGAGGCAGATGTACTTGAAATCTAGAACATTTTCCAACTATTTTTCTTCATTTGAAAAAATGACTAGCACAATGTCATTGTCACCGATTAGCACCTATTTACTATAGATTATAAACATGTTGAAGATTTGAAAGATACATGAAAAAATGTTATTAATAATATGTAACACATTCCACAGTATACATTGAAAAACTAAATACATGAGTACAATTCCATTATAAAATCATCGGTTCCTTATGTTGAAAACCTGAATAAGAGTATTAAGGGTCCTGTGCTCATGATGTGTGATGAACTTAAATCGAGAGAGACTCAGACACAAACCAATTCATCCTCCACTCAACTTCTGAGGCAATTCCTATGTGATCTCCAATGAGGGGTGACATATTCAAAATGATAAAGATTTGAACTGTTGAAAAAGGAAAAATAGAGCATGAATTTTGAAAAGACTGAGTCATAATATTCTAATAAATTAAGAATAATTTGTTTCATATTTTAATCCCCTTAAGTAAAATATCATTAAGTATTTTCTAACTTAAATTATTACTCATTTAAAATATTTAAAACTGACAATGAAAATTCCTTTTTAAGTACAGATGCATCCCTATTCCATGATTCCATCTTGCAGTAGATAGTCCCCTGTATTTACTCTTATGTTACATACTTATTTACTTCTACTGTACTTTATGTGACATTGTTTGAGGAAATAAGAAGGAATGTATAGGAATATGAGGTTGCACTATGAATTGTACTCAATTGTGCAGTGAACAAATTATTCACTGAAAAGTCTCATATCGATAAACAATCGATGAAGAAGGAAGAAGCTTGAAAAAGGACGGAGCAGGTAGCAGCAGCTAGAGGAGGATGCCTGAGAGAAAAGAAGGCGCTCTAGGCCGGGAAGAGAAAAAAGGAGGTTGTCAGAAGAGAGAGGCACAGCACTGAAGATTAACAAGATCAAGCCTAAAGTTATAAGACTTTGATAGATTCACTTAATACAGTTGTAAAAATAAATTGTTTTGTTAGACAGGAGTGAAAAGTCATTTATTTATTTAGTTGTCCTATAGGTCTCACAATTGAAGAATAACAAACCAGGTGAGTCAATTCATTCAAAGTGTATTTACTCAGTCCCATATTTCATATATATATATATATTCACTCAGTGTCACAAAAAGCATAAGGTTCCTGAATTCCCAACAGTTAAACACCCTCAAAAAGTCTATATCCAGTGCCGGGGTTTTGTATTAAGACAATTAAATCACGAGTGTAAATAATCTAGTCCCCACAAAGTGGAAGAATATTCATCACTGCCACCAAAAAGGTCATTTACAATTAACCATTAATATGTTATTTACAATTTTTTCATCTGTCGGTACCAATAAAACATAACAATGACTTTCTTACTACTTAGACTGTTCATTTTAAAAATTTTTGAAGAATAACCTTTTGTACTTTTTTGATTAAAGATAATAGTAACCTGAGTTTCAAAAAAATAGCCTCGTGAGCAGAGTACAAAGCATAAGGTGCATAGTTTGAGTCCCTCTCTTTTCCATTCTATCTAGTCTCGTGAGTGGAGAACCTAAGAGTCACAATGAATAATCTAAAAGATTATTTTATTGGAAAGTTCCGTAATGGAATAACAAAAATAATTTGCCAAAAAATATTTAAAATCATTATAGGTACATTTTCATCTAAAAGAAAATAATAAAATAATACCCTGATGAAAAAAATCTGTGGTCTGACTCCTGTGAAATATTGACAATATTATAATAAATAGAGTGCTAATGAATTGCGAAGTGAGAGGAAGAAACAACCTTCTTGACTGGGTTTCTAAAGAAAGGTGTTTTTTCTTTTACTTTTGTTAGATTATAAATCTTGGGATCATATCTACTTTTTCCTGGAGATAATTTTTCTCGTGAGGAAGTGCTTGAAGTGATCTAAAAAAAAACATTGGAAATTTAATTCACATGGTAAAGAAGTTTTCACAAAATAACAAAGTAAGATTTTTTTTTTTAATTCATAAATTTTTGTGTTATATCATTAGTGATTTTTATTAATCTTTAACTTCTTTTTTTTTTTCATTTATTAGAATGAGAAACACTTTATTTTCATATAAGTTATGTATATATCATTCCATATTTATTTTTCATAGTTATATTTCAACATAACTAAACCTTGATCAATTATTAAAGGTACTCTCAACTCCTCTACTTTTCCATTTTTCCTGTTCCTCCACTCTTCCACAGATCGGCATTCAGCAACTGGCCCAAGTATAACTTGTCATCTCTAACTTTCACATCAAAATCTTCTCCTCTTCTTAACACCCCATTCCATTTCTTGCATCACATGAACTGATCCAAATTACATACAACCAACCCGTGAAATCCTTTACTCCAAAAATGGTATTATACCACAATTTAAACCTTCTCTTCTATGAATCCCTTCAACCTGACCTGGATTCTTTCCAATGGGATATCATATATTCCTATAATTCCATTGATCCGATAGGGTCTATTCTAATCTCAGATTTACAAGTCTTATTAGACATCCATGCCCCTCTGAAATCTAGAATTTTACGTTGTCCCATTGCACCTTGGCTGACTCCTGAAATAAAGGAAATGATGAAAATAAGGGATGCAGCAAGGCACAAATACTGTCAAACTCATTTGCCTGCTGATTTTGCGTGTTTCAAGAAACTTCGCAACGGAACAAAATCCATAGCCTGACTTGCTAAAGCCACCTACTTCCATAATGCTCTTTCCAATGCTCCCAATTCCAAATCCAAATGGAAAATACTCCGTAACTTATCCCTACCAGAATCCAAATATCTCAATTCCTTCTCTGTGACTCCAGATGATCTCAATGACCATTTCCTTCGCTCATATTTCTTCTCCTACTTCCGATATTAAACAACACAATTTCAATCCTGAAGACTTCTTTTTCTTCCCTGTGTCCTACAATGAATTACTTTCAAGTATCCTAAAATCCCACACTAATGATTATAATCCTGATAATATTCCAGTAAAACTAATAAAATACAGCCTTCCTGTTCTTTTTTCTGTTCTTTTCCATATCTACAACTTTTTATTGCAAAACTTCACATCTTCCTGGAAAACTGTCTTGCTCTGACCTTTGAATAAAATTTCCAACCCTATCTCACTGCACGAATTTCGACCTATTTCTCTCCTATCCAACCTTTCGAACCGTTATAATCCCTTGTCCTAAATAAACTCTCCAACTTCCTAGAGGAATGTTCCATTATCAACACATTACAATCTGGCTTTTGACCTGTTTACTCAACGTAATCCACTCTTCTTAAAATAATTCATGGCCTCCAAAACTCCATTGAACAACAAAACCTTTATATCCTCATCCTTCTAGATTTTTCCAAAATATTTGACACAGTTGACCATAACAACCTCCTTCCTAAATTGCATAATATTCTTCTATCCAACCGTGCCCAGGGTTAGTTCAAATTCTTCCTCTCAAATGGGTCTCAGTATGTAGTCGTCCCAGATCAACCTCCATCTAAGACCCTCACTCTCTCCTGTAGTGTCCCTCTATATTCCTCTCTATACTCTACTCTGTCTACTATTTACATTAATGACCTTCCCCTCCTGATCCATCACTCTCAATACCACATCTATCCAGACAATTTCCAAATATACCTGTCCTTCTTGCCTTCTGACCTATTATCCGTCACAGAAAAACTTTAAGACTTGAATAAGACTTATTACAGGGCGAAAGCTAACAAGTTGAAGTTGAATGCAGAGATGACGAAGGCAATCTTAATAGGCTACAATCGCCTTCTTAAAACTGTTCTTAATATTCCAACCCTGTTCCTACATGATAATTTCATCAAATTTTACCTCACCATCAAAAACTTTGGAATAGCCTTTGATCATACGCTTTCCTGGATAAATCATGTATCCAATATCTCCCGCCGTTCCTTTTCCACCTTAATTACCTCCCTCTCTTATTTCCATTTGATACCAGTAGGTTCCTAGTCACTTCTTTAATATTTCTTTTTGAATAATACTGTATGGTATATGGGGGCATCTCTGGAGATCTCGAGATGAAACTAAAATGTTTGATAAATTGCTTTGTACGATTCATCTTCTGGATCCCAAGGGACACCTCTGTTTCCCGTTTTTATGAAGAGTTGAAGTGGCTCTATCCTTCCTACCGTTGTATTTCCTGGCATCTTTTATCTTCCAAGCCATCCTAATCCCACCGACCTTCATACATCTTCGAGCTCCTTCAATTCAAATCCTCTGTTCCTTCCCACAATACCCATTGCCGATCTTCAGATTTATACACAAGGGCCAACCGAACCACTGCTTCCGACAATTCGTTCATTATCTGATTTTCATCCCTATGGAACTTCATTCCTTTCTTCATTCGTCACTCCAATAAACTCCCTACCTTTAAATCCCGCCTGTTCAATAATTTTTAATCTATACTGGCCCCATAAAATTGGAAATAGATATTACAGTAAATATGTATATAAATTATTAGAGTGTTCATAATTATTTTTACTTCATGCTTTTTCAATTTTGTTTTATTATTAACTGATTAAAGGTAGAAAGTAACTTATAATTTTTTTTTATTATGACTATTTATTTACTTTATGTTTTTGTGTTTATGGATCTCTGAGTCTCCTTATCCCACATTTCTGCCTCTCTATATCATTTTAAAGGACTCGTACCAGAATAGAGAATTATTATAACATGCTCTTTTACAATTTTTAATGTTTTGAGATTTTATATTCTCCATACCCAATTACTCTTTGCAATGTTATGATAGATCTGATTGCATGGGAGGTGGTGAAGGATATATAATCCAACTCATATAGAGCCTTTCTGTTGACGAAATGACCAACTCCAATTTCAATATTTTTATTATTAATTTTAGTGTGGTATAAAAAAACAAACAGAATATTTGTTGGGATCTTGAGGCAAAACTAAAACACAGTTAATACATTTCGTCATACATTTCATCTTCAGGTTCCCTTTCTCCCATTTTTATGAAGAGTTAAAGTGGCTTTATCCTTCCTATGGTCGCAAGTATTTTCTGGCATCTTTTCTCTTCCAAGTTATCCAATACCACTGTCCATACATCTCCAAGCTCCTTCAATTCAAATCCTTGGTTCATTTCTGCTATGCCCACTCTAGGTCTTCTGATTTAAATACTATGGTTCACCGATCAGCAACATTCGACAGATCTTTTATTACCAGATCTTCGTTCCTATGGAATTCCATTCCTTCACACAACCATCGTTCCAATAGCCTCCCTTCATTTCAATGCCACCTCTTTAACCATTTCCTGTCCATCCAGTTCTTAGAAAGTTGTAAATAGATAGATAGATAAGTTTGTAAATATGTGCATAAATTATTATTTATTTTTATTATTTTTTTTAGATCATCCTTTTTTTTAATTTGTTAATAATAGATATTATGCTATGATTTATTATTATTTCTATTTGTCTATTCTTTTTCTGTTATTTTTTGTTGTTACTCTAAGGCTCTAAAACCCATAATTTTGTTCTTTTATGTTGTTCAAAAGGGACTTGTACAATAATAAATAAACAGTTAATCATTATTTTTATAAAATAAAATAAAACTTAATTGATTTGTGATGGCTATGTTTAAAAAAAATTTAATTTGCTTGTTTCGAAAAAATGAGAATGAGGAGTCACTAATTGCAGAGCTTGGAGCAAATTTTGAGGTTGTTCACATATTATAACTTTTCATCAAATATTACTGTCACACTTGGCAAAAAAAATTCCAACATTCAAATTTTCACCTCCGAATTTTCCTACCCTTACCTTATCTCTTCTTTTTCACAAACGAACTTATACTAAATAAAATTCACCCCTTGCAATTGTATTTTGTACATCATTAATTTAATATCCTTCCTCTATTGCATCAGAAATGATTTTACTATTGCTCTAAATTATTTTATATTTATATATTCTATATTGTATTACAGAAACATTGAAGGCTGGTAATATAGTTGTTATATAGCTAATAAATTATTTAAACAATATTTAAAATTTGCTAAACATAGTGCAAATATAATTATTTTACATGCAATATGTTTTTGTTGATACACCAGTAAAATTAAAATCATAAATAATCTCATCTTGCATGAATGATAGATTCAAGCTTTCAAGGCAATCTTTCACTAATTATTTCCGAGTAGCATTTTTACAATTAACAAGATTATTTATTCTTCTTCTTTGCACTTTTCAGCTAAGTTTATTCCAGAGATCAAATTAAGCCATTTTTGATTTGAGGCTATAAGTTGCCCATCTTAAACTCTGAATTATAGGGAATATTTAACAATCTCTGCATAAAAACCCTGTATTTGACTTTAATGTAACTTACCTTTTTGTATTTTGTTTCTAATAACTTTTTCATATTAGTGTACAATGTTGTTTTACTGTCACTTATTTGACATGTTGAATGTTTTCTTATCTGCAAAAAAAAAATAAAAAATTAGTCATAGCTAGTATGAATTACTTCAAATTATATGTATCTCACAAGTACTTTAACTGATGAGAGTTTTGTTTCACAATTTTGGCTGACACTGGTAGTGTATTTATTGTGACCTATAGCTTCCACCGATTGAGCGATTGGTGTTTTAATTTTGTTAGTGCCTTTTATGTATCTTTTCCTCACCCTAGTTTAAATTATAAAAAAAAATATATAAACAAAAATGAGTGATAATTTTAAAATCTACTTAATCATTAATCAATAGTAATATGATAAATAGCTGTATTAATATATTTGCTAGAACAAATTAATCTCATTTTTAATTTATAACTTACGTTTTATCTCCGATTACCACTTTGCTATGCATTTTTTTGTTATAACAGAATTGTTTAGAACTTCTTTTACTTCCCTTTTAAAATATTAATCTAAATTTGGTTAAAAGGGAAAAAATCACTCTTTTTACAGATGTTCAAGCTTATCATCACCATATGACAAAGCTTTACATTTTCATTTAAAAATAATTATTAATTGATCAATAATGGAAATAATAGAATAAATCAAATAAAGAAGTCAGTTTATTTTTGACATATTTCAATTTGCTGTGATTACAAGACATTCAGTCTTTTTTTTTAACTGTATAAATATGATTGAGACAACAAAAATGACATATTATAAATAACTTTTTGTTTGCACAGAGATTTTGGTTATTTACATTCATAGGTTGAAGTTAATTTCAAAACTAAACAACAGCTCTGGATAATGCTGTTGGGACTTTAGGAAACTAATTCTTCAGTGATATTTTGTGGCAAGAATAATAAGTATGCAATTTTAGAATGGTTGAATACACATAAAATTAACTGGACTCACCTGGTTTTGTCGATCTTCAGTTGTCTAAAGAAAAGATGTTGAGACATGTAAGAAAGCTAAAAAAAACAGCACATATTCACTCTTGACCAACATAACTAATTTATTTTAACAAAATAGTCAGATAATGGATAATAATTAAAAGTATAATAGCATTACTTCTATTCTCTTCTAAAATCTTTCTCTTCTATATTTGACAAACGATCCAGTAGAGTAGTGGCTTTCTCACCGCCACAGCTTCAAGTACCCCCTCTTTTCTTTCATGCTCACGTCTCTTCAATGCTTCCCTCTGTCAGACACTGTTCCAATCTTGTATTTTCTGAGTTCCATTGTCCTTTGTTTATCAATTATCTATACATGCACATTTAGCAATATCCACACAACTCGTTCACTGCACAATTGAGCCTAATTCATTGTGTACTCAATACAACCCTGTTCAATTTCTCATCACTCCTTTATTCAATGTCACTTAAGAGTAGACCATCCACCACAATATGTATTATTTATTTCCAAACAGAACCCTAATTATCATTGACAAATTTTCAGGAAAAATAAAAAGATATATTTTCTGATACAATTGTAATATCAAAGCCAATATTTTATTATATTTTTTAATAATCATTTTTAAAAAAAATTAACATACATCTTGTATTTACTACTCTCTTTAAATAGTGGTGTAAATAGGATCATTTCTGAAACAAACTAAACTTAACAGTGAGTTTTTGAACAATAAAGGTTGATTGGTTTTGGGGTTCAATTTGAAGAGAAAAATGTACGATAGAGGAAAAAAAAAATATTGAAATCGTCCTATAAATATTTAACTTTTTTACTACAATACTGGTGCAATAAAATTAATTTATTATTTATTTATATTTAAATAAAAAGGTTAAAGAAGCATTTGATTATTTTTTTTTTAATGGATGGAAAATTGGAGTAAGTCATTTTCATGGGATATAATTATGGAGTGTATTAACTTTACGGTTTTAAATATTTGGATTTGTTTGTTAGAAACTAAACTATTTTAACAGAAAAAAATAAGCTGTTATTTCATACCAAGAAATACTTGTTGAATACCTACCTTTATACCTTTAGTTTTTAGTGATAATATCAGCTTTGTACTCAATTATAAACTTCTTAAAATTAAAATAAAAATTTACATTTATGTTAAACTTATTGAACAATTTAAATTGTTTTGATTATGGATGTGGTATCCATAATTATGTAAGTAATTATTTTTAATGGTGAAGAGATACCAACCAGTGTAGAGATAACACCAAGAAATACTTGTTACTATTGAATACCTAACTTTATATCTTTAGCTTTTAGTGAATATATCGCTTTTGTATTCAACTAAATTGAAAATAAAACTGTTATTAATACAGAAGAGAAGAATAGTGGGGTTGATCAGTCAAATAAGAAGGCAAAAATAAATGATAATATTTATGTTGACTCAATACAACCATTGACAAACGATCCAGTTTGTCATTATTATAATATAATATAATCATTTATTTTTGCCTTCTTATTCGACTGATCACCCCAACTATTCTTCTCTTCATTATTCACGACAGTCAACCATTTACCCACAACTGTTATTAATATAAACTTTGCATTTATAAACAAATAATTGTAGGAGTTATGAAAAAAAATTAGTTACTTTTTAACTGTTAGTTTTAAATTTCCATTATAACTGGTTTCTTAATAATTGATTTGGATAACAAATAGTTACAGAAGTTCAAATCTGTCTCAGGAGATATAAAAGTTATGAATTACTTTCTACTAATTATTTAATGTATAATAGACTCCCAGATCAAACTTCCTTGTTGATTAATTTCGTTACTACATCGTTATATTTTCAGTGAAAATAGACAATAAAAAAATGTATTAGGTAAAATTTACCACACCAGGCTTTGAAATTTTGTATTCTCATACTTCCATCAGAAATGGAAAGCAGGTAGTTCAAGGAAGAAAAATAGTGAGGGAATTAAAATCACTTGATTATCTTAATAGTATTATTCTACTACTTCACATATCATGTATTTTTAATCCTCTTATTATGATTTATATCCATACAGGAAGCCTAATAAGTGGGCTGTAAAGTCAACAAACAATTAAACAAAAAGATATTGATGATAGATTCTATTTTTTGATCACACACCTATAGCATGGTTATAAAATTTAAAATTGTTGATACTTAAATATTGATTTTACCTTGGTTACTAGACAATTAAACTGGTCACAAAGGTTTTGTAAACAGAAAATAAAATAACAAAAACAAAAAATTATAAAAACCTTTATTATTCATTTTTTCAATATAATCTCAGACATAAATCATTTTAGACATATGTTTGAGAATAGAGTGGATTGCCTTTTATTTATTTCTTTTTTTATCTGCCAATTACCACCCTCGTCTTACTATTGGTTTTGCTAGTTCTTTAGTACGTTTCGAACACATAGCTTTTAAAGCTCTTGCTGGAACTTGGAAAGCATCCTCCCTTACATCATTGTTGGCAGCTGTTCTTTTGACCACTGGCTCTGAGAGGTCAAGTATTCTTTTTGTCGCTAAAATAATAAACCTATTACAATAATGAAATTAGCTTATATTATTTGTTAATTTTTTTCATCTGCTATTATTGTAATATATATGAGCAGGATGTGTATTGTACATTTAAAAATTCTATGGGTTCAGTATAGATGAATCCTCTAAACTACTGTTTAATATGTTTCCTATACTAATTTTTTTTTGTAAACCAACTAAAACATAAAACATAAATGTTCAAACAATAATTTATTTATTAAAGAGAAGGATGATGGTTGAGATGAACTGTCAAAATTAAAATGGTAAAAAATAAATAATTTTATTTATTTTTACATTCGCCGAAGTTCAGGGCTTCATCAGGGCTTCTGTGCAAGAAGTAAAGTCAGACCTTAGTCCCCTTAATGTAATCTTCCAATCTTTGCTTTGGTATCCCCTGTTGATTGGCTTTAATGTTTTTCCCCAATCCATAGCGCCCCTCTAGCCGCGGTGCCACGAGACGAACCCTCTAGCCTTCGCCCTACCAACGTGACGGCCCTGTCTCTTGGTATTACAGACATTGTAAATCTTTTGCTGGCTTTACAAGTTTACCTCCTATGCCTATCTTATGCTATTTCTTTATAGTTATCTGCATGCAGCTCTATTGATTTTTTGTTTATTCTATCCATCCGTTTGCTTTTTGGCCTTCCACGTGGTCTTTTGCCTTCGGTTGAGGCATTAATTATTATGTAAACAATTCCAGATGGATTGCTACATGCCTGCCCATCTTAAAATCCGTGCCTTCATATCATGGGATATTGGTTTGCTTCTCGATATGTTAGTACTCTGATTTCAGATAGCTGTGGTTATCATGCGAAGGATATTTCTTTCAAATCTTTCAATTGTTTTTTATAGAGCGTTAGTTAGTTTCCAGGTCTATCAGTTATATATTAGAACTGGCTTTATCATACCTTTGTACACTCTTAATTTGAGATTTTTAATTTGAGGGATTTAAATACCTTTGGAAAGCAGAGGAAAGCTCTGTTTGGGCATGTTATACACTGGTCTATTTCCGACTTGTGGTCATTAATTGAGGTTATTTTGGAGCCAAGTTATTTGAATTTTTCTACTCTCGGGAACGATTTCCCTTCCATGAAGATTCTGTTATTTTGGTGGAATTTTCGGCTTATTATTATATATTTTGTTTTTTCTTCATTTCCTTGTAAGCCGATTTGCTCTGTTTCCCTTATCAGAATCTTAGCAAGTTTCTCAATGACTTCTTGATTACTTCCAAGGACAGCTATATCATCTGCCTATCTAAGGATTTTATGATTCATTCTGACGTTGATCCCTCTATTTTTCTGTGGCGTTCTTATCAAATTTTCCAGTGCTAACCTGAACAGCATCGGTGATGGTCAATCTTCCTGCTGTAAGCCCGTTCAAACTTTGAAGGCTTCAGGTAATTCTCCTTGTATTAGGGCTCAACATTTAGGGTCATTTGTATATGCCTTTGTCAATTATACCAACTTACAGGGAACTTCAAGTTCAGTCATGATTTTTTAAAGGTAGTTCCTATCCACACAATCGTAGGCTGTTTTGAAATCGACAAACAGGGCGTGGACGCCCTGAGCTACTTCCCATCATTTTTTGAGAAACTTATTTTACGTGATTAAGTGTCTCTCTGACTTTACTTATTGTACAGCAGCCCTGATCAAGGCCTGAACTTTGGGCCGAAACATTGGCGAATGTAAAAATAAATAAAATTATTTATTTTTTACTATTTTAATTTGACTGATCAACCCAACCATCCTTCTTTTCAATTATTCACTACAGTCAATCATAAACCCATAATAGTTTATTATGTAATGGGTTGATGTTTATGTATGCTGAAAGAAAAAGTGTGTGCTGAATATACTTGAATGAGTTAATAATTTTTTAAAAGAAAAAAAGTATAGTCAGCAAACTTCATTTATATGTTTTAACATAAAAATATTTTTATTTTTACTAACTTTTTTATAAGTTAGAATGGTAAATCTAACATAAAACACAGGGCCGGGTACTGTACTTGAGGAAGACCCAGTCTGGATGTCCACTACAACATCTTTATAACAATTTATCCCATATTTTTTAACCTCCAAATTTTTCCAATGACTTTTATTGTAGTATTTATATTTATTTTTGTATTATACTATTATTTGTATTTTTTTTTTTTGTTGTAGAAATCTTTTAAGTTTCAAAATTGGAATTTGTTGCTATTCCATAAAAATTGCCTTTCATTTGATACCTCATTCATCAACATATATTGCTCCTGTGAGCTGGAAAAAGGGATTTATAATACCTTATTATTTACAGTTTAGCACTTTGGTAAAAAATGTTAATTGGGATATACTGATACTGGCGGGGTGAACTAGTCCGGCAATTGGGCCTACATGGTCCTTTTTGCCAACCCCTGTGGGCTACCTTGAGGTTGCCCCCACGTACTTACCAAAGTGGGATGTACGATCATTCCTGGACGCCGAGAATGAAAGACGACCAGATGGGAATCGAACCCACTATGTTCAGAACCGGACACCCTGGGATCCATGCCCTAACGTGCTAGGCCATCCCATCCTCTAATAAGAATATACAATATAACATTATCGATGAAAATCTATTCAACAAAGACAATTGGTGGAAGTTACATGCTTTACCATGGTTGCTGAAGTAACAACTTCCTTAATAAGTGCTTAGCTTGCCCTATTGGAAAATATTCATCCAGTTTAATAGTTAAGCAATAAGACAAAATGATTCCAGAACTTATACTAATCGCTCAAGATCTAATTGTTTGGTGCAAAAGAGCATTGGTTTATAATACTCTCACTTACGAGTTGGTATAGAAGTCTATTATTGATGTATTAGAGCCATATTTAACAAATAAACAGTACAAAATTTTTAAAACAATATATCCCATACTGGTCCATTTACTTTTGAAACTTTTAAGTTTTGAAACCTCCCAATTTTTTTCACAAACTTTTATTATTAACGTTTTGGAATTAGGATTCATCCAGAAAGGTGCACATCCCCTGGCCCCCAAAGTCGGTGGCACATATACCTCCCTCCCCCCCCAACAAGATATTTTGTGCTCTTTTCTTCTAAAAACAGTGCAAGCGAAAATAATATTTACAAATCATAAATTATAAACAAGTACACTATTTGCGGTCTGTTCCATGTTTCCCCTTGTCCTCTGGTATGAAACCTAAAATTATATGTTTACTTTAATTTAAAGTTGGGATACACATCCACATACACACCCGCACAAAGTTCGAGCCGCACCTCAGTCATAGGTAACCCCTCTTCAATGAAACCAAACATACACTTATATTGGGTTAGGTTAGAACAACCCACGAGGACTACTGTCATTTTTGGTTTCATCGAGAAGACTTATGTCTGACGTACAGATGTGGTGCCAGCATGTGTGTCCCTGTGGGGGATCCAGGATTTTTCTGAGTGGGGCATACTTGTGAAACAGATGAATTCCATACACCAAAGGTATTTTTTTTTCTATAGGCAGAGCCTTAGTTTGTTTTCTCGGCGCCTGGGGCGAGATTTTACCATGCGCTCCTCCTCTGCAACCCTATCTTAAATCTACTAATAGCCAATTACCCCATGATTAAATAGAAAATGAGACATAATAATAACAAAAGCTTAGCTATACCTGAAAGTTAAATGCCCTTGCTACCAATCACTGTCTACCATCCATCGGCCACCGTCCAAACCTCACCCCACAAAACTTGTTAGAATGACAATGGAGGGTAATGAGTGTTTCGTACGAGTACAAGGTGACTTGTCAAAGGCATTTAGAACATCGACAGGTGTAAGGCAGGGAGACGCTCTGGCATGTCTGATATTCAACTTTACCCTTGAAAAAGTCACAAGGGATTCTGGTATCCAGACTACAGGAACCCTCCTAAATCGAATGACCCAAATACTTGGATATGCGGACGACATTGATATAATGGGAAGATCGTTTGCGGCAGTACAGGAAGCTTTTACAAGTCTGAAAGAGTCGGCAGCCAAAATCGGTCTTATTATTAACGCGTCCAAAACAAAATATATGTCCACCCTATCCTCACGTCTAACAAGGGAAAACCAAGCATGGTTGGAACAGCGTGGAATCGAGAATGTTGACGAATTTGTATATCTTGGTTCATTGATAAATGCACGAAATAACATTGATTGTGAGATAGACAGGAGGATCCCAGTGGCTAATCGGTGCTATTTCTCCCTCCAGAGACATCTTCGCAGTAGAATGTTGTCAAGACAGGCCAAAATAAGAATATATAAAACTCTTATTAGGCCAGTGCTCACATATGGCGGTGAGAGTTGGATCTTAACTAAAGCAGTTGAGAAATCCCTGCTCAGATTTGAAAGGAGGATTATACGACGCATATTTGGAGGGGTCCAGGAAACACCACAGAATTGGAGGAGGAGAACGAATTTGGAAATAAAGACATTGTTTAATGACCTGGATGTGAGCCAATTCATTGTACTGGCAAGACTACGCTGGGCGGGAGATGTCGTGTGGATGGATAAGAATGCACCCCTACAGAGAGCTATGAATGAGCCTGTGTTTGGAAACAGATGAGTGGGAAGACCATGTTTGCGCTGGTAAGACTGTGTGACTGCTGATGCATGTAGACAACTTGGTGTCAGAAATTGGAAGGCTGCAGCAACTAACCTGGAGAACTGGAGATCCATCCAAGTCTCAAATAATTGGGATGTAGTGCCATTTAATAATAATAATAAGGTTTCAAAGCACTCCAGCAACTACTTTCAGCTAAATATTAAAATATTTTGCTAGTAAATTATGATTTTTTTGTGTAAATATTTAGATTTTATCATCTTTTGCTGTTTTTAAGAACAAAATGTAAATTCAAATTATTTGTTCAGTACCTTTAATTTTTTCAATTAAAACGATAATAATAAAAGTTTCAATTGCTTAGTTAATGTTTTCAAGATAATTTTTTTTCTCTCCTTCGAGGTGGAAGGCGAGGGGTAGCGCACCCCCTGGATCCCCTAGCTGTGTATCCTAATAACCTTTAGTCAGAATAAATGGAGCGAATGGATACTTGGAGCACTAATACTTGAGTATTAGTGGTCTTAAGTGTGGCAAATTGTATTTTTTTTTGTTAAAAAAAAAATGAGTATGAAGTGTTCATACCTATACAACTTATTAATAATTAAATTATTATTATCAATACTGAAGTTAAAGATGATAAAAAGCAATTATTCTCACGTTTATATTTTAGAGCTGATTTCTTTATAGTAAAGGGTTTATATGCTAGATCCAACCTTGCTTCTTCTGGAAGTTCTCGATGTGCAGCTAGCTCTAGAGTTCTTTTTGTTGCTCTTGCTCGTTTTGCTTTTGGATTGACCTAACATTATAGAGAAATAGGTTAGTGCAAATAATTGAGAATATATCACAGAATAATATATTTCATTCTTTGTCAACTTCGTAGTAACTACAAATTTTATAAATTTCAGTAAAAACTGATTTAGGATTTCATTGTTTTCTTTTATTGCTTATATGTTGGTTCTCATTTGTTTTTTGCATATTTGGTAATTTTTGTATATATTTTATGTTCATTAAAAATATTTTTGTAGTAAATCTCAATACTTTAACTCAATTTGTTTGGATATGTTGCTACGTTTCTGGTAATCCGCTTTTGTCAGAGATTGTCCACGACACGCTCCGTCCCATGTTCCGTACCAATAAAAAAATGTGTGATGTTTATAAGCATTTAAGATTGAGTTTAAACAATTTAAGTTTCACAGGTATGCCGAGGCCCAGAACATTGCGATGAAGTTTCCTGAGAACGATTTCCACCTTGGTCAGTTAATATTTATTTCTCGGTGTCTGAGTAGTAGAAAGAAGTAGTAAAAAGCAAATTTTTGGTTGCCGTCAGGTGGTGGGCAAAAAAGAATAAAAAGCCCATTTGACGGTCAGGTCTCCCCCACCAATACCAGGGCCTTGAATGGTGTCCTTGGGATTATTATAGTTATTTTTAGTTAAGATTAAGGCTAAGATTACATGTTTTCGGTAACAAATTTTGACATGGCCTTTATCTTTGTCTGATTTAATTTAAGATTTAAGCACAGACCAGACATATTTGCATAACAATCTGAATTGGAGCTTGTTCTTCAGATCTGTTCTTAAAAAACAACAAGAAAACTGGCCCATTTCTGATGACTTACGTTAGCTAGTTGCATCCTTCGGTTGTATGATGATACACAACACAAGGCTGTCGCGTGGGTTGTGGGCGCCCGGGGCGAGTTTCCTCAGACGCCCCCTTCCCCGTTCCTTTCCCTCTCTTTTTCATTTACCTCCATCGATTCGAGTTATTCCAGACTATAAATAAAAATCACTATATATTTATTAACAGATATTTATATAAATCGTCATCCACAGAATTCGAAATCGGCATTATACAGTTACATATATGTATATAACATACTTAAGGGATTCAAGCCAAGAAAAGACTTCACAAAGGCTGAGAACGGCAATCTTCTGATCAATCAGAGAGATATAACAAGCAGATGGACTCGGCATTTTCAGAGCCTGTTAAACAAGGAGGAAGAAGAGGGCAATGAAAATCCGCAGGGTCCCAATTTGGACCAGACTCAAGAGAATGACGAGGTGATAGAAGCACACCTCCTGAGAAGGAAGAGGTTATTGAAATTCTTCTCAGCATGAAAAATTATAAAGCTCCTGGGATTGACAGTATACCAGTAGAACTGTTGAAGTTTGGCGGAGATACATTACTCAATGAGCTGTATGAAATAATTGTTGATGCATGGGTGACTGACAGGATCCAAGCTGAATGGTATACAGCTCTTCTATGCCCCATCTTCAAGATAGGTCAAATACAGCATTGTGACAATTACAGAAGTATAGTTCTCCTTAATATTGCCCACAAGGTACTGTCATCTTTAATTTGGGTGAGATTAAAGGAACACATTGGGAGGAATGCTGATTTTTTTTCCCTCGGACTTGTATTTTCTATTTGTATTAGGTAGGGGACGATTGTCCCCCTTTATAAAGTCTGTGCCTAAACTATTCATAATCATCGATTTTATAAAGAAATTTTCTTTTAAAATCGATGTTGGATTAATGTTAACATCAATGGGCACCGCATGTTTGGAAGGGCGAAAGATAATGTTGTTTTTCAAAACTATATTCTTTTTCAAAACGCAAAGAAACATCAAATCATGTCACAAATCCGTGGCGCCACTTGGACCATCCGGTCCACTGGACAAATCCGAGGCGATCGCCCACGTGATGGCCCTGCCTGAAGACACTTCAGAAAACATTAACACAATACGTTATGAAGATGTATGCCCATATCTGGTTCTTTTATTAAGCTTGAACCACTAGACGATCCAGAGTTTAATTTTGGGAGAGAGGGGAGAGGGCTTCACCGATTTATGAGGGCAAGATAAAAACCGCAAACTAACATAAAAATGTTTATGATCTCTAAGCTCAACTTCTATGCAAAAGATTTTATTGACATGATTAAGTGGACGGATATAAAAAACACGGAGCCTTCAATCACCAAAAACTTTATGCAAGAGGATTTAAAACACTATAGAAGAAAATCTAGTTGCCAGTAGCAATCTATAGATGCTCTCCGTTTTCACAGCTATTCACAAGGAGTGAAGAGAGAGTTGTAAAGTTTGTGACAGAGTTATCACTAAGTTTTTGTGGTCCTAAAGCAAGAGATGGCTTTGTGAAAATCAAAATCACTCAACAAAAGATAATGCAATAATCTGAGAAAAAAAGTTTATTTCAGTTTCAATGCAAAATTTTTTAAAATGTTTACATTGTTTGTATGACACTAATTATTAATTATGTACTGATTCTTTTTAATTGTGAGGATTTGGTAAATGTTTTTGAAAATTTCTTTAAAATTTATTTTTAATCCCTTTCTGAAATCTTTTGAAAAGTGAAACACTCAAAACAACGGGTAAGTTCAATATTGTTATTACTCACTTTTTAATGTAAATTTGTATGTTATTTTAAAAATTATGTTTAAACAAAAATTTGAAAGTAATTGATTAATTATAATAGATCAATTCAAGTCAGAATTCAAATTCAAATTTTAGGTAAAAAGACCAATTTTAAAACTTAAAAAAAAAATCCAAGTATAAATAAGTGCCTAAACTTCATATCATTGTGATAAAGAAGGGTCTATTGATAGATAGTGAAATAAATTTTTGTTTAAAACAATGTATAACTAAAGTAGAAAAAAATGGATAAAAAAAAATTTGTTTAAGCCTCTTGCGGAACCTCTAGCTATAAATTTAAAAAAGCAAAATTTTGTGTCCTATTAGAAAGTTGCCCATCGAAAAAAGTGTTTTTTGTTCCACCCTACCTTACACCGATAATTTCTGGAGGAAATAATAAATAAATTTCGTATGCGCAAATTTGTCTAAACTTCTTTAAACTGTATTGAGACAGCATCGCTACAAGTTATTTTGTAAAATTATTTTTTTTTTTTTGTTAATTTATTATGATTAATTAAGTTAATCATAAATTAAACAATAATTTGTAAAATTAACTTCACATTAAGTAGTAAATGTTTAAAAAAATACTGAATAGGATAAGTTAATCACACATACATTCGTATGGCAGAAGTAAATAAATACCTGATATGGATCCCAGGGGTCAGGTTGAATCATGTAACGAGGTGGTGGCCTCGAAAGCTGAATAATCCTTACTTCATGTTCTTCTGGGGAAAGAGGTGTTGTTTTTCTTTTCTTAAAATAGTTTACATTTACAACTTTAGATAATATATTGCAAAAAGTCCAATAAACAAAAAAATAAATAAGTAATTTTGGTATAAAAACTTTGCATTATTTAAGCATTGATTGAAAGCATGAAAGTGGCATGATATGGCAAACTGTAAGATTACTAAAAATGGTCATGATAATAATTTTTTTTAATATTACATTATTAAAAAAATTGTCTATGTGGATGAATTCTCCCTTTATATCTCTTTTCTTTTAATAGCTGATTTTTGGAACTTTTTCCGATTTTTTTTCCACCATTGAGGGAGAGAAGCTCCCACTGGTAGAATTCGCTAGTGCTGGTCACAACAATAATTTTTTTAGTATAATATTTTTAGTAGTATTATTTTTTTAGTAGTATATTTCTCTTTTCATTAAACAACTGTTTAATGCTAACAATGGTAACGACTGCTTTTTCGAATTATTTTTTCCACAATCCAAGGGAGAGAGGAACGCGGCCTCTGGCTGGATCAGTTAGTATTGGTCACGATAATATATATTTTTTATTAGAAATTTCGTTCACTATAACCATCAACTAAACTTCTCCTGTACAATGTAATTATATGACCAGTTGGGACATACGGATGTGAAACACGGACATTGACGAAGGCCATTGAAATTCAAATATTAATTTTCGAAAGGAAGGTCCTTCGGAAGATATTTGGCCCAGTTAATGAATGAATGGAGAATTAGATGCAACCTAGAACTAGCCAACTTATACAAGGAGCCAGATGTGGTGGAATATATCCGAATAGCAAGACTGAGGTGGGAGGGCCAAGTTGTAGGGATGGACGAGACATCAATCCCAAAGAAGCCGGAGGCGATTGGAAAAAGAAAAGCGGACAGGCTGGAACTGAGATGGAAAGATTGAGTAAGTGCTGATGCCACAATCCTTGGAATTAGAAACTGGTGGACCAGCTGCTAAGGAAAGGGAAACATGGAGGAAAACTTTTGAGACAGCCAAGATTCAGTAATGGATTGCCGAGTTCGGGAAGATGGTGATGATCACATTAGAAGATTTGTCTTAGAGGATGATTTTTCCTATATTTCTCTTTTCCTTAAATAGTTGTTTTATGGAAATTTTTTCCAGAATTATTTTACCAATATTCAGAGGAGGGCGCGCCCTCTGGCAGAATTCACTTGTGCTGGTCACAATATTAACTTTATTTTTATATTACATTAGAAAATTTTTCTAAGAGGAAGAATTTTTCCTGTATTTCTTTTTGACAAAAAAAACTTTTTGAAGTTTGTTCGCATCATCCAAGGGAAAGGGGTGCGCCTTCTCCCCCCGCTGGGTCCGATACTAATGATCAAGATAATTTTTTTTTTTTAGGACTTGTACAAAGGATGGCTGCCAACGAGGTTCTTGGAAATGATCATCACCAAAGAGCTCTATGGAAAACGGCGAGTTAGACGACCGAACGTGCGATGGATGGATGGCAGACGCGTGGGCCCTTCTTGGAGTCCAAAACAGGATAGCTGCTGCAAACGACCGTACAAACTGGCGGAGACTTTTTACACCCCCGCGCTCCCCGGCTGGATCCGCTAGTGATCTATTCGGATTATCAGTTGGCACTTCAAGCATTAGAATCCACCACAATGACCTCCACACTGATACGGGAGCATAAACAGGCTTTGGAGACACTGGCCTGCTCTAAGAAAGTGGAACTAGTGTGGGTTCTTTGTCACAATGGAATTAAAGGCAATGAAAAAACCGATGCCCTCGCAAGGGAAGGAACGGAATTTCCTGTTATAGGTCTGGAATCTGCAGTAGGAATATCCAAGAAACATTAGCGAAAAGAAGTCCTTGATTGGATTCGAGCAAGTAAAGACTAGATGGAATGCACTGGGCTTAGGCAAGCCAAACAATTTATGAAAAACCCCTTTCCCTCTAAAACTAACTGGCTGCTGGGCCTAACTAAAGAAATCCGACTCACCATCAGAGTACTAACAGGCCACTACAGAATTAAAAAAACATTTAAAGATCTGCGGGATAGTAGATGAACTCTGCAATCTGTGCAAAAACACACCAGGAACAGCCCTATACTACATAACAGAATGCGACTGATTTGCGTCGCTCAGGTACAGAATTCTGGGCTCGGGTAGAATTCGATAACTCTTAGCTATTCTCATAACATGGCCTAGCATTTTCTCTATTAGAAGGAAGAAAAGGTTTGGGATAGAGTAGGATATATAATAGACTACCATTGGTATTATTGTCTTAGGAGTTGGCAAAAAGGACCAATAGGCCCACTTAGTGGACTTAGTCCCCTCACCAGTACCATTAATAGAACTGAAGATTTAAATAAACTTTTTTATAGTAAATAATCTAGTATATCATAATCATTATTTCAAATAATTGACTACAAACTATGATTATCAAATATAACTTTATTATAATGGTGGATTGATGATTGACTGTAGTGAATAATTGAAGAGAAGAATGGTTGGAATGATCAGTAAAAGTAAATAATTATATTTATTTATTCTTACTAATTTTTTTGACTGATCACCCCAACCATTCCTTTATTATAATGGTGTTATTATTATATTATTATTTTTTCTAATTTGAAATGAAAATAATTTTATTATTCTGGGACTAGTGTCCTTTTAGAACAAATCACAAATACAGATTATATATCAATATTTTGGTGTGTCCATGAAATACTATTAAATATTTACAGGCTAATTATTAATTATTAAAAGCAATAAATTTTACTTTCTGCATTTTTGTGGTTTTTGATAAATTATTGCAATCATAACATAAACCAACATTCCATGTGAAAAAAAATGTGGTTATTCAAATGTTTGTTACATGTCTAACTGTATCTAATAAAATGATCTTTTAACAGCCGGCTTAAAAATGGTTCACAAGAACCATTAAAATAATAATTTCACTGACTAAAGTATATTATTAAAACACATAATTGACTATTCACGACGAACTTGACAATATATTTTTTTTATATCATGGTTAAGTCCTCAAGTTGAGTCGTCAAACATTTTTGATATTAATCAACAGTGATCTTCGCAGGAGACTAAAATAGCCCAGTTGACTCTGATAGTAAATTTTTAAGGAATCTTTGCCAAGAAGAAATATTCTTTTCTTCCAACTCCATTTATCATTAGTCAATTGTTAATGTGTCGAGACTTATCCCACTTAAAAGTTAAAAGAAGAAACTATAACTGAAGTGCTGTGGTGCACCTCGGCACCAACAAAAAAAAGTAAATTATTGTACTGTTGAGGTTTATTTGGATCATTTACTATATAATATGCTTTTTAAGTGATATTATTATTTTACATTTTAATGGTCTTTTTTTACTGGTTTAAAGTCGTTTTTTATTTTTAAAGTTATATTAAATTTTATTTGTTATGATATATAATTATAATAATAGTTTTTGGCGGATCTTGACAAGTCCTTGTAGAGGAGTCTTATAAACGATAAACTTAATATTATTTTTTTCCCTCCCTCCCCTTTATTTATTAAAAGCAACTACATATATACAATACTTTTTTTTTTTTTCTTTTTTTTTTATTGAATAATAATACAATCAGCCACTGGAGGGCTATAAGTATTAGGGCTAAGAGTTCGCATTCAAACAATATATACAAATAATAGAGAAATAAATATAAATATAAAAAGTAAATAAATAATACTGATGAAAAAGAAAAAAAAGAAAAAAAAAAGTAAACAATAACATAAAAAGAAACTTATAAACACAATCATACCTATATACAATATATACATTCGCCCAGGAATCTCCGAGCCAGGCTTTTTCCCCCACATGTGGAAGGCAAAGCAAGACTCCAGGAGATCCCAGTGCCACTTTTCCAGCCGCATCACTAGTATTAGAAGCCAATGGAGACTGAAAGAGGGCACTAGAGCCACAGACGCTCGTGACATGAGTGGAGAAGCTGGCCATTGCCAGGACTCCAGAAGCATATTTACAAGAGATCTCTGGGCCACTGCCGTTTTAACCTTCGTGGAGGATTGTAGGAATGAAGGGAGCTGGATAGGGATTGAGCTAGAGGATTTGGATGATGGATAAGGTTTTGGTGAAAGTTTGAGAATCTGGTTGGGATGATGTCGAGGACAAATGGGATGTTAAGGTCATGGTGTAGGGTCTTGTTTGTGACATAATATGGGGCATTGACTATTGTTCTAAGCACTTTGGACTGGAAGGATTGGATGCGTTTGATATTCGAATGTTTAGCAGTTCCCCACAGTTCAAGTCCGTAGGTCCAGATAGGTTTCAGTATGGTCTTGTAGATTAAAAGTTTATTTTAAATCGAAAGATGGGATGTCCTACTTAGTAATCTATACAGCTGGCCATATCGTCGGTTAAGTTCTTGTCTTTTAAGTCTGGTATGTGGGTTCCAAGTTAGTCTTTTGTCAAGAAGGAAGCCAAGGTAACGGACTGTGTCTGAGTAGGGAAGTGGAATTGAATTAAAAAGGATTGACGGACAGGATCTGCGTCGCAGGGTAAAAGTGATATGTTTGCATTTTGATTCATTGATTTTGATGCACCAGTTGTTGCACCACTGCTCAATCAAGGAGAGGTGAGATTGTAGGTTTAGAGAAGCTATTTGAGGATCTGAGTGGGAAGATAGAATGGCAGTATTATCAGCAAATGTAGCTAGAAATGTATCGGGATTTGAAGGGATATCGGAAGTGAAGAGGATATAGAGAACTGGGCCCAAGACACTGCCTTGTGGAACACCAGCCTCAACTGGATAGTAAGTGGAGAATGCGGTGTCACAACGGACTTGAAAGGAACGATTTGAGAGGTAGGATTTGAGGACTAGGTATAAGGATTGGGGTAAATGGGTTTTGAGCTTGAAAAGCAAGCCATCGTGCCACACCCGGTCGAAAGCTTGTGCTACGTCCAGAAAGGCACCAGTGCAATAATGCTTGTTTTCAAGTGCAGAGGATATATGGTCCACAACACGAAGGCCTTGTTGGACAGTG